GTCCGTAAACTCCTCTGTTGGGTTTACTACAAAACATGGGTTGATCAGCTTCATTGGGCATTTGTGGAAATGTCCTCTGCACAAGGCTCAGTCTACTCAGCTGCCTTTCATTGACAAATACACCAACACAATATGGACTTAGTACAGAAAGCATTTTAGCTTGCATAGATGCCTGACTTGATTCCATTTCTACGTTATTTCTGACATGTTGCACAGAACTAGTATCCTCTTTCTGGTGTAATAAAGGCCTTAATGACCCCTGAAATAAAGGGGTTTTCTTCTTTGCTCTCTTGCTAGTTAAATTGTGGATTCTTATTACACAACTTATTTGCTCTTTAAATAGATTCCATACAAAACTAGTTCTTCCAATTCCTCAATATTTTTCCTGACTCAAAAACTGATTGTCCTCTTCATTGATCCCACTGTACCCCTCAAAAGCTCAAAAAGCCGGTATTACAAGGGATCCATATGCTCTTCTATGCCTATTAGGAATGGTCTGTTACAGTGTAATATCTTGCAGAGATCTCGGTAATTCCAGGCTGGCAAAGATATACCTGAACAGGAGTGACACATGTAACAGGTGCAGTGATTTGCCTGTAGAATCATATTCATATGTTTTTGTCCAGCTAAGGACTGTCAGAATTCTGGTGTATTGATAAGTGTTTGATGCCAGGTGGTGTAGCGTAGTGGGTAATACTGCAACCCTTCAAGTACCAGATTGGGGTTGGATTACCACCATGCTACACCAATAAGAGTCTTTGGGCAAGACCTATAATGCTACATTGGCCTACCTCTGTAACCTGATTGTTTGTTTGTTTTAATTCGCTCTGGATAGGAGCGTCTGCCAAATGTGTAAATGTATTTGAGCATTGTATTTGACTCATTCTTCCCAAAACTGTGGTTGATATGTTTCAGTGGTTTTGAAAAGGAATACCGTTGCCCATTTGGACTGTTTCCCCATCTTGTTTGCAATGACTCCCCAAGTAATATTGTTGCCTGGATATTGAGATGGGACTGCCACAGCTGAAAGGGATACTGTTCTATACATCGGTTCTTTACTCCTGAGGCAAGAGACTCTTTCTGCTTTGTGCCATTTTGTTTATGTCTGACAAAGGACTGTGGCAAGGTTTGTTACTGCTCTGGAAGCCTGTTAGATGTCCGCTGGTTTACTTCTGCCCGACAAACATCATCTGTACAGGTGCTTTTCTTCCTTTTCTCTTTCACTTATGGACTCTTTGTTAAATAGCCTTATGAATACTGGTTAGCAGGGTAACCTAGCCAAAATTACACCAAGTTCAAGGCAGGTACTATACCAAAATTACACCAAGTTCAAAACAACTGTTTTGTATTTTAGATACGCTACATTTGCTTGTAGCACACCATGAGTACAATAATTTAAGACAGTTTCTAATATACACTTTTTGTATAGCACTTTTCACAGATGTGTATCTTCACTAAGAAACTTTAGAGATCTAACCTAATGAGTGAATCAAGCGTTAAAGAATTTATCAAAAAACCTTTGTTAAAACTAGATGTATTTATACAATACTGTGTATATTTCTTTAAATACTCGACAATGAAAACATTTTTTAACCTAGTTTTCCTCCCAGTTTAGACATCGCCCATTTCCCAACCTTTAGACTCCTCCCAACCCCCCGTCCCCTGTTGCAGCTTGAACAGGCTCCACTGTTCTGGGAAGGTTTTCCACAAGATTTTGATACACACCTGTGGGAATTTGTGCCTAACTTCAGTCAAAAGAGCATTTGTGAGGTCAAGCACTGATGTTGGACGAGAAGGACTGCCTCGCAGTCATCATTCCGGTTAATCCCGAAGGTGTTCAGTGAGGTTGAGGTCAGGGCTCTGTGTAGGTCACTGGAGTTCCTCTACACCAGACTTGTCAAACCATGTTTTTATGGACCTTGCTTTGTGGACAGGGGCACAGTCTTGCTGGAGCAGGGTGAAGCCTTCTCCAAACAGTTGCCCTAAAGATGGAAGCATGTCATTGCCTAAAATGTATTTGTATGCTGAAGCTTTAACATCATGCTTCACTGGAAACAAAGGGCCTTACCGAAACCCTGAAAAACAGCCCCAGATCATTGTTCCTCTTTAACCAAACTTTACTGTTGGCACTATGCTTTCTGGTAGGTAGTATTCTCCTGTCATCCGACTACCAGATAATCAAGCATGATTCCAGAGTCCAGTGGTGGCTTGCTTTACACACCACTTCATCGGACACTTGGCATTGCACATAGTGATCTTATGCTTGTGTGCAGTTGCTTGGCCATGGAAATCCAGTTCATGAAGCTTCAGACACACAATTCTTGTACTGATGTTGGAGTGCAGTTTGGATCTCTGTAGTGACTGATGCACCAGAGGATCAGCGGTTTTTACATGCTGTGTGTTTCAGCTCTCATAGAGAAGAGGGACACTGAGTTATGTGGTCTTCTCTTCATGGCTGAGCCATTGTTGCTCCTAGATGATTCTATTTCACAATAATAGAACTTACAGTTGACTGGGGCAGATCTAGCAGAGAAGAAATTTCACAAACTGAATTGTGCAAAGGAGGTATCTTCTGGAAGTGCCACATTTCTAGCACTGAGCTCTTTAGTATGACCTGTTCTACTGCCAGTGTTTTTCTGTGGAGATTGTGTGGCTATGTGCATGATGTTATACATCAGTAGCAATGGGATGGCTGAAACACCCGGGGTGTCCACATACTTTTGTCCATATAGAGAATGTCCTCCAAGACACTTGAAGCCAGTCACCATATCTTTTCGAGCTTCCACTCCTGTAACATCACTAAAATCTTGAATGAGGGCACTAACTGCCAAGTTCTGATGTGTGAACTAATAGGGCATCACACTAAACAATAGAGGGATAGGGGAAACAATAATTCATCCTTTGCATCCAAAAAGCAGGGCCAGTTATTCTCTCCTGGACTATTGGCCATGGATGGCTGAATTACCAGGATCACCAGGATTAGATCTACCAATTATAAAGTGAATCCTTACAGAATGATACCACTCAGGAGCCCATTACAGTATAACCTTAACATCTAACAAGGTCTTCTGTAGCAATTCCCAGAGATGTAAGATACTTGAGGGCTGCTTTTCTTTTGTCTCATTTGTCTCATTGAAATTGCGTAGGGTTAAGGTCTGGTGATTGAGCAGGCCAGGTCGATAGTTTGGATTGTCCACATCAATTATCCTACATTTTTTGGTTTTGACAGACTACATTGCGATGTGTTTTGAGTCTATGTTGCTTTGAATAGCATGTCTCTAAAATCTGCTGTGATGGTTTTTCTATCATATGATAGTTGCTATGTGATTGTCAAGGATCACCAAGTCTGTCACCAGGAAGGAAACCCCAGCGTAAAGGCCATGGGATACATCTTGCGGAGACAACGTTTGCCTTGCTTTGGTGAACAATATCATGTAATTGTGGAGAAAACAAAACACCTGCTGACATCATGTAGAGGCACAGACAAACACACTATGCAACAAAGCCTGTGGTTGGTCCATGCAAAAGAGGCATGCTGTCATTCAAAGATGGATGAGCCAAAACAAAACCACAGAAAGTAAGAGAGCTTCATGAATCCCTCACAAGTTTAATTTCACTTAAAGTATTGCAGAGGCCTTAACTCCCTCCAAGCTTCACAGGGGGAGGTCTCTAATCTTTTGGTGGGTCTTTTCCATTTAGGCCAGCTTTACACAGTCCACTGTGAACAGTGGAAGGTCAGACATCTGTCTGTCATTTAACTGATTTTGGGCAGATTCTCAGGTTTCTGTTATTGTTTGGTCGAAATCACATCAGTTACAGGCGCTTGCAAAGTTCTTGGTATTTGCTAGCTGTGAGTTTAGCCAACTGTGTGATTTGTTCCAAATGGAAAGGGAGAGCCAGCAAACCTAGATGAAGTGGTCTGCAAGATTTGCCTAAAAATAGTAGTAGCCAGAGAGAGAAACGCGTCCAAAATTCCCATCTGAAAATTAAGCTGCCTTTAATTGCTTCAGAGATACTGTCCATCTCAGAAGACTCTCTTCCACAGAGCAGCTTATTTCTTTATGGCTGCATTGTGCTGGTTGTGGTTTCTTTTTCCATCTGATGTGTTGCTAAATCAGGACCAGGAAATACCTAAGAAAAAACTGTACACTGCAGAGGCTCATAGATGGCTAACAGCTGCTAAATCAGAAACCACTGAATATCTAAGAAAAACTATGCATGACAGAGGCTCAGAGTCAACTTATAGCTATATCCCACAAAATGTGTACGAACTGTCACTCTAACACCAGTCACTCAACTATATGCCTTTATTTTCTAAATGTGTGTTACTTGAAAATCAGCAAGAACACAGTTGCTGTATTTATAAGCGGTTAATAGTCCATTTTCCACCGATGAGCTAGACATTTCTCATGGCCATATCATGCTTTTCTGTGCTGACCATGGACATTTGTTCTCAGATTTGAGTCTTTATTCTCTAAACATATGTTAGTGCAGCATTGGTTAGCAAAAATTGGACCTGTACTGTGGTGTGTGGTGCTGCTAGCTAATGCAGCACTAAGCCTGCTAGCTAATGCAGTGCTAGCACCATTCTACTATTTAGCACTAGTGCAAACTTAGCTTGCAGGCTGCATCCTCAAACTCCAGAGTACACACTTGATTTTGGCTACCTATGCATGTACAATGAGGAGAGAGGTGTGGTGAAACAGCTGATTGTCTTGAGTTGCTGTTGACACTCTTGGGCATGTAACATTCTTTTGCAGAAAGTAGTTCTCAGTATTGGTAGATGTGAAGGTGAGATGTGTAAGATATTTCTGTAATGTGAAAATTTTCTTTGCCTTTGAATAATCTTGCAGTCTGTCTTAAGAGAAATGATACAGAAATTCCTTTGACAATGATATTTTAATTAAAGGTTTATCCAAGAAAAGATTTAAAATTTTTGTAAATGTTTTCTGCATGCAGGTCATTACATACATCTCATTTTCCTCTTCTTCTATTTTTAGATGCTGACATTGTAACTGAAGACAAGAAGCTGGAGAAAGGAGGCCCTACCTTGTATGGTTTGGGTCCATTATTTTATGCACAGATTCCATCTTTTTCATCTGCACTTCGGGGATTAAAGACACTTGACATGCTTTCTTCCCAGTTTCATTTTAGTGGATTGAGTTGACAAAGAGAAGAACCTCTGGCAACTGAAAATAATCATGGAACAGATTATTTTACAAAGAATCAAATGAAAGGGTTAGATGTTGAAAGGATTTGCATATGTACAAATTATGTTTGTCAAATTTTGCATTCAGGAGGAAATCACTTGCTGCAGTATTTCCCATAATCAATGTTTTTCCCCTCACCTGATTTTATTTAATTATCCTCTAGTGTAGTAGTCTATCTATCAGTTTCCTAGTTAGAAATTCAATTTGCATTCTGAGCAAGCTTTTGGTCAGTGGACATGGCGTACCCTTTACTTGATTTTTCTTCCCAACCCTCAACTGGGGATGATTTTATCTGCACAGAATGTGGTGAAGGATTTGGTCAGTATCCAAAACTGATCAATCACATGGCTATTCATGGACCCATTGACCCTTTATCTTCAAATGATGAAAGTGGCGTTAAGGGTTGTGATACACCCATCGAATTTGCCCTCCATGAAAATGGAACACTTACAGTAGTTGATAAATCTGCAGTATCTAACTTCTCATTCTTATTTGGAAAACCCACATCAAACTCATCATGGAATCAGACACCTTTTCAAGAATCGTTGCCTTCAAACAAAATGACAGAAAGGGAGCATACTCAGTGTAGATGTGAAAGATGTGGTCAAGTGTTCAGGAGCCAGAGAAGTTTACAGCAGCATCAGCGATACCGCCCCCTTGAGCAAGGTTTCAAATGTACCCTATGCTGCAAGGTTTTTTATGATCGAGAGAGTCTTCGGGGCCACCTTCAGAGCCATGATCATGAACGTTTTTACAGCTGTGGACACTGCGGAAAACGATTCTTAAAACAAGAGACTTTGTTCTTGCACCAAAAAGAATGGCACAAGTCTCTTGGATCCAAGAGTTCAAGTAAATTTGAAGACGACCGTGAAAATGGTATGGATAAATCTTACCCTTGCAAGATTTGCGGCTTGCGTTTCTTTTGGTTGTCCGACTTGCAGAGCCATCTAATTAATCATTCTCATGTGAACAAATCAACTACTGATGCCAAACAAAAAGAGAACTTGCAGGACCAGGAGGAAAGTAGCCATAAGAAAAATGTCTTGCCCTCTGCTGATGATTCTGTTGATCGCTCATATCGCTGTGGCTTGTGCGGGGGACGTTTCAATTCCTTGTCAGATTTGAAAGCACATCATGCTTCGGAACATCCAGATGAGGAGCGTGATGAGGACTCTTCTGAATCAGCGTCTCAGATTAAACGACAGCCTGTTAACTATTTTGGTATAATGCGTCAAATGGTTTCAAAGCACCAAATGCAACGCATGGATCCGTTGAGGTCAAGAATGAGAGGTAGACCTAGAGGAGGTGCTAACAGAAGTCTCAACTCTAAAGTGTTCCCTTGCAAACAATGCCATCGTGTATTTGTTCACTCTAGCAGTCTATCTCGCCACATGCGTTACCATAAGGGTACTCTTCATACATGTGTTTATTGTGGCAGACACTTTCCACAAAGATGCGATGTCACAAGGCATGTTGCTATGTATCATAGTTCAGATGTAAAGGTCAAAGTTGAAAGTGAACTTTTGGACGGCGAAGATGAAAATGGTATGCAAGAGTTATCAAAAAGGCAGACAAGCAACGATTCTGATGATCATGAGAATCAGGAAAATGAAGACCAGCAGTCACCAAAGCCAACAGATACGGAGAAGTCACAAGATACTCAAGAGGTGTCTCCTGTCAAGCCACGGATGACCTACAAATGCAAAGAATGTGGTAGAGTTTTTGGGCTGCTGAGTGTATATCAGCGACATGTGCGTTATCACAGAAGAGACCCTTCCCGAGTACTGCTAAGCTGTCCTCGTTGTCCATGTCGCTTTACTTTCCGCTCTGCTCTTGATCGCCACCTAGAGAATCATGATAAGGAAGGATCTGAGAAAAGTGGTAAGGAAGGATCTCCAACTCCAGAGGCTCATACAGATTATTTAGAAAATGAAGATGAAGATTTAGGTTTTGAAAGGAGTGAGTCAGAAGTAAAGTCAAAAGAGAATACAGCAACAGATGTGTTGTATGAATGCACTGAATGTACCCAGACATTCTCGGACCTGCAGAAGTTCCTTCAACATCAAAGTGCACATGGTTGAAAAAATGTCTAATCGGATATGATACCAGGGATCTGATAGTAATACAATGTCAGTGAAGACAAATGCATTCCATATGTTGAATTGTGAGAGCAAATCGAGCACTACCTGATCTTATCCGATTTTTTTATGTATGTACATTTTTTTCTACTGCTGAATTTGTTTCTTGATTTGTAATAGCACCAGGTTGACATGCCTTCCTGTACTTTCTCCTCTTGAATAATAGCATATTGCTAAGATGTCGTGTGGAATCTTCAAGAATGCTCTAATAGGTACCTCAAGGTGTTTTAAGTCATTATTTCTCATTATGCAAATTGTTGACTGTCAAATTTTGTCATCTTTGTATTTCCCTTTTTGCTCATTAACTGTGGAACAGGCAAATATTGTACTGTACAGAGTCTTAGAACATCTCATAACTGCCTTCCGAGTGTATTTCCAGTCGATGGCATCAGAGAGCATAATTGACATAATAAACCATATTTCGAGGCAAGCCCAGTTACTGACCTTGACTTCAGCAAGTCTTATCTGGGTTTATCTTGATCGATTTGAAGTTGCACCCCTAGTGGGAACTAGATTTAGGCACATAGCATTGAATGGTGAGTGAGATTTTATAACTTCGGAGTATGTGAGTGTTGGTCTACTTTGCATGGATTTGTCTGGGGCTGTTAGTATTTGATGTTTGAGGGTACAGGGGTCATACAAATAAGTGCTGTGATGTCTGAACATCAATAAAAAACAAGTTTTCAGTAAAAAAAAATCTTGAAAAAAACGCTATGCATGATATGAAACTGCTGTCTTTTTTGTTTTATATGTTTTGTTTACCTACACATACATCTTAAGCTGTGTCACAACTCTTATTTAGTTTTGAGCTTCCATGCTTCCCAACACAGATTGCCTGTAAATCAACATTCTAAACCAGAACTGTGGTCCTGATGGGCCAGATTCCTGTAGTTTGGCGATTTTCTTGCTCAAGCACAGCTGGTTCAACTTATCCGTTAATTGCCTGGTTACTTGATGTGCTAGAGCAGGGATATCGCCAATTTGTGCTAGACTCTGGCCCTCAGTTCCCCACCTCTGGTCTGAACAGTCCTTCGTTTGTCTTTTTCAACAGGTTTTCTTGCACATCCAAAAGACCAAAAAAATTCTAACACTATAACTGTCACTCAGAAACAACTCTCCAATAAAGAGTCCTTTTTGGTGCAGCATTTGGTTTAGTCATAGTGTTGCAAAAAAAGCACAGATCATTTGAAACAGTGCAGTCCAGAGTGTAGTAGTTTTAGATCAGCAGTTCTCAGACTGGTCCACAGGGACCCCTGGAAAGTCCACCATTTTGTTTTATTTCTCTGTTTCAAGTTATGTTGAAACAAAAATCTGGACTGTCTGGGGGTCACTGAGGACCGGTTTAAGAAGATTTAAAGAGCAAGGCTACCAGTTGCCTGCTTCAAGGTTTGTTTCAACCCAGAGCATAACAGTCCCGTCTTTGTTTTAGTTCTGAGGCTTGGGTCTACTGGACTGGCTCCTAGAGAGCTAAACAAAATGCATAGCCTACGTACTCTATCGTTCAATTGTTCATGTACAAAGTACTTGAATCCCAGGCTTTACCTACTATAGGCCCTGTCCACACTTGATATTAGCATTTGTCTTGAGTGATGGGATCCGGAGTGGACAGCAAGACCTGACATTTCCATGTGTTTACACTACAAATTGTGGTCATATGCACCCTGACCACCCTCAGTGAGAATTGGAACCCCCATGTTAATGCAAAGCGTAAATGGGGCCATCACCCAATTTTTTCCTCATCAAACAGATAGGGTCACGGGGTTTCCGATGTTCGTTAAATTGATTGGTTGCCAAAAAAGGCTTAAAACTTAATTCAGACCACAGGTAGCAACCATGCCGATCCTGCACCGCACTTTGAAAAAGACTCCTGTGTTAATCAGTGTTGCGGTTTGTGGTGGACACGCAGCAAGCAGGCACAAGAAGGGTGGTTTCATGTCTGTTTTTTGCCACTTGCTGCAAGCTGGATGCTAGTGGTTCTAGCTATATAATACTACGAAATGCAACATGTTGCATTGTGCATTCATGTTATACAGATAAAGCTGTTGTGGTCCATAATCAAAGCAGCACATATATTTCAACATGTTATCCTACTGCAGCAGCAGTGCCCTTGGAGGGCCGTGTAGGCCAGGCTAGCGATAGTCATGACAAGTGCCCCCTCCCAAAGTCAACAACCAATAATAAAGTTTATTTTAGGGGAACGTTTCAATCAGGGGACATTGTCTACAAATATAGACAAGTATACCCATGTCCCCAGGGTAAGAACAGGTTATGAGCAGAATATGAGTTCTTGTAATCAAATAGTCCAACATAAATTATTACTACAGTGGTCTAGCACTTCCGCTCAGTGTGACTTTTGCCATCTGGTATTGATATTTTAAAAAGTTACTAATTGACAATTTATAAGTCACCAATTAGCTGGCGAGATGTACCAGCACTACCATTCTGTTAGTATTGTGGTCAGCCACCAGTAGCCATTTGAGCACAAGTTAGCCATCTCAATTTTCCTCAAACTTTATCCTGCACAGCATGTGTATGGGTAGTGTACCCAAAGCATTTCTCAAGTATACTAACTTTTGGATTTGTAACTAAACATGCTCTTTAGTGATTTTAGGACATTCTTATCTGGCCTTCATTGGAAAATGTTTTCTGGGCTATGGAACAGCTTTGTGCCATCATGCTAAACTCACCATGTGTGCAGTATCCTTGGGATTTATGGACATCAGCAGATAGGAATGTAGTTATACAGCAATCTGTGTCCAAAACCACAGCCTATGTTTGTCAACACCATGGTTTAGAGTTAAGGCAATACTTGCTTTGCGCTTGGACTGCTTTGTGAATTCTGGCCACAAGTTTTTTACTACAAGATTGCCAATGTTCTGTTCTGTTTTTTTCTGTGCTTTTATTTAATGGATCCTGAAACACGACCAGAAGAATTCTTGTGTTATACAGTTACACACTCATGTGAAGTGTACTTATTTTATGATCTAGAAAGGACAACCAGAGACAAAATGTTTTGGTAGCGAGTGCCTTAAAAACAATTACATAAGTTTGCAGTGAATAAAATCTCTAAAATGAAAGGTAAAGATAGCTTAACTAACACAAATATACCATATTCCTCTAAGCTTTGTGTTTACAAATGTATATGTTTGTTGAGAATGGAAACAGTGTGACATTACTTAAAGCCATTGGTACATGACAGTGTACTAGCCAACCTCTGTACAACAGCACCTGATTTCACCGATTAACTTTTCTTCATACCAAAGGGGTACAGTGGTACATGAGCACAGTCTTTCAGTAGATTCAGTCAAGTACCCATTGTTAAAAGTTAATTGTAGACAAAGAGTAATCTGGTAATTTAGGGTGCCTTGACAGTCAAGTATTTAACAAGTCACCTATGGCGGAACTTAGTAGCAATCTTTATGCGAGTCTTTCACTATTACATCCTGTGTTCCAGAGTCCATTACCTTTGGTTCACAGTCTTTCTGGGGCAACTACTCATACTCCAGATTCCCACACCCCATAGGCATGATCAGACCACTTTGCTCTCAGAATTCGGTTTGGGCATACGATGTAAAGCCTTATCCAATTGTTCACTTAATCCTATTGTATCGTTTCCTCTTGTTGGCAAAGAACTGTTTGGGATCAATCCAATTCTGTGAGTTAAGCTGTCCTTGGTTCTAGCCTTGTATATTTAAGAAGTTGACCTTTGTTCTCAAAATGTGTTCTCAACCAGTGATAATCTGCTATAACAGCTATTGATTTGAATTGTTGCTAATTGGCAAAACACACTAACACTATACTATTATAAAAGTTATAGAAAAATAAATCCAGAGCATTGTAATCCAATCCAGTCCTCCTGGCTTCTAATGTACATGACAAGCAGTCAAGAACACTAAGAACCTAAGCAATAGGGTCTGTGGTTGCTTATGGTTAGATTGGGAAACTCAGGGCCTGTTCCAAATGGCACCCTAAGCCAGGGGCACCTAATGCATGTTAGACTAGAAGAATTAACTGCACTGCTGCTGCACTGCTTGCAATACCAATAAAGCATATAATACCAACCACACCTGGCAAGTGTTGCAGCAACATTCTTGCGAGCACAAAGTGCAGTTTTATGCTTTGGGTCTATGCACAGCACAAGGCATGCCAATGGTTTCTGGCTAAAAAACTACAAAATACAGCATTCATGCTATATTGTGCAGCCTAGACTTGCAATCAAAACAGCACATGCACTATAAATAACTTGTAGTCCTTTTAGTCTGCAACAGCAAAAGGATTGGCCTTGAGACTCAAGGAGATGTCTTAGGACACCGAGATTTAAAAATCTCATTCCTTTGTAGTTGGTTTAAATAGATTGACAACTACATTACAAAAAAAAAAATAATAATAAAACCCTTTTTAAAAGGTTTGAAAGATTTCCCAGATTGCTGTCAGACAGTGTTGGCAACCCTACCCAGGAGAGTCATGCAGGGTAGGATTGTGTCACAGTAGGTTTGTGCAGGTAATGGTTGTGCTTACACATTGAAATATATTTTATTGGGTACAAGTGGTGGCATGCTTCTACTGATTTGACGCTCAGTAAAGGCATTTAGATGTTATTTATTACAAAAAGAGATGCTCACACATTGAGCAAGCACCACAAAGCAGTTCTGGCTTACTGTTCATGCAGCGTCGCCCCTGGTTCCGACTCCAGTCCTGTAGGATCACTGCGCTGCAGAGTTTAGCACTGTACTTCATTTAGTATGCCTCACTCAAGCTATTAGCTAGTTAGCAAGACCTTCCTGAGATGAAGTTTGAGCATTAGCAGTTGCCCTCTTGGGAGTTTCGACACAAAGCCACAGACCAAGCCCAAGTGAAATTTGCCTAAGGTGCTAACCTACAGAGTGATCCAGCTAATCCATGAGGTTTTCAACAATAGCTGCAATCCAAGACAACGTGAGCACAGCAGTCCTTTAGTATATCCATGTATATTTTGTGTTTTTCCAAGCCCTGACACTAATAGAAGGAGGATCAGCTAGGTTACTTGGAGTAACGGTAGAACTCTGACAGCCTTTGATGAAGATTTCAGGAAATTGATGACTCAAATGAAACAGCAGTAATCTCAAAATGAGATCGCTGGGTTATAAATAGTTAAAGTAGTGCTTTCAATCACTGAAAGTTGCAGGACAGGCTAAAGGATTGTAGAGTAAGATTCCTTTGAAACACTTAAGATAATCTAAACCTTACAATGCTTTTGGGAATGTGAATCCTATACTTCTGGTAGTTTTGGAACCACACCAAGTGTACTTCAAATACCCTTTGCTCATTTCCTTCTCTTTTTTAAAGCTGGTTTCCCTTCAACATTCTGGCAGGAAAAAAAAAATCCCCTAGTAATAAAAAAAAGCCTGAGGCAAAAATGCTTGCTTTCACCATCAAGGGTTTCAAAGAAGCAATCTTCCCTTCAGAGTTCACATGTTAGATTGTGAACGCCTTCCTGGCACCTTTTGGGGCAAGAACTTGAGTAGTGTGTTCTTCTGAGTATTATTACAAGGTCTCATAGACATGTACCTTGTGCATCTCTGTCAAATGTGTTATGATCTGGTCTAGGGTCAGGTCATAACCAAAAGAGGTATATACCCATATCAAGTTATCTGTAGGTACACAATTTAAAGCTGTATTCTGCAATACCTGGTGCCAACATTAGCTTGCACTGGTCCAGACCACTATCACTTCTTTCACACCTTTCTATACTTGTCTTGGTTCTAAGAGGCCATGATTTACATTTTAAAGAACAGGACCTTAAATGTGCTAGATTCCTTGATTTGTTAGCAGCATACTACAGTCTGGCTTCCCAATGGTTAAAAGCAATACCTTACACTAGTAGCCATCAGGTACATAATAAAAACCTAGAAAGGTGTTTCCCAACAGAGTCCTAGAGGTCCATGTTCTCTATGCAGTAGACCAGTTCAAGGATGACTTGCTTAACAGATAAATCTGACCATGGAGGAGCGGAAACATGAAACACTGCAATGAAGGTGGACGTCTAGGACGGGAGCTGGGAAACACTGACCTACTGTACCTCTTACTAGAAAACGTTGTTTTAAAATCTGTTTAGCTATTGAGTCTATTGGGCAAGCATAGTTGCCCTGGCTAATGTGCTTCTTAGGGTCTCCTATCATTTGTGGAGCAGCTTAGGGTTAGTAGTGGTCAATGGAGGGGGCAGGACTGTTAGAACTTAAAGCCTGCCTTTAAAAATCTGATGGTCTTTTCTATGATTTCAATCAGCAATCCTAGTGTGGAAACCTTACTTAGTGAACCACTCCCTTGCCTGGACAGCTGACTGGACCCCTGGCTCAAATTTTCCTGTTTAACTGCCAAGACATTTAGGCATTAGAATCAAACACATAACTTAATATTGGTAAGGTTAATTTGATGATAATAGTCAAATCAACAGCAAGTGCATGAATTGTTAACCTCCCTGCTAGAAAAACCAACATAGACCAGCATGCCTGGTCACCAGCAAAACCAGCATATGCTGTGTTTTGTATGCTGGTCAACCAGGATGACCATGCTAGGTGACCAACTAAACCAGGACCAGACATATACCAGGTAAGACCAGCATGGAATGCATGCTGTTTTTTTTTTTCCTTTCTTTTTCAGCTGTGCTACCACAGAACAAACAGGAGGGGAATGTGAAGACTGCTGGGACAAACTCTCTTAAACTGTTAAACTGCAGCAGAACACCCTTAAACAAGCTCTCCAGACGTGCAAAGAGGCACAAAAAGTCACTGCCACTGTTGCCCATGGTGGCCAAACCCTGTACCAAACCAGCAGCCATCTTACGGTACCTTACTCAGGAACCATGCGCAAAGGCAGCACCGTTTGCGCATAATGGACGTCGATATGGAAGCCCCGTAGAACTTGGGGCGGGTCCTTTCACGTTCTTACTGTGCACTGATTGGTCCAAGCGGTGGTGTCACGAACTGTCCCGGGCTTCTGCACATTGTTTGGAGATTGTGCTATGAGAAGGAGACGAACGACACATTATCGGCGATTCTACGAGCGCAACGTTATACCCACATGTCGCTTTGGACGTCGAGGACCTGACCACGTTCTCAGCACCCATCGGCGGACTGCAGGTTGCTGGTGGCGCGCTGAGGGAGAGCAAGGAGAAAACAACACCTTCCTGAGGACGACGGTGAGTAGCTAGCCACGGGGTGCGCTCTGACAAGGAATGTGCTCTTGCGGAAAACGGAGGCGTGCTTTGCTGCATTCAAAATGAAGAACGTCCAAAACCAAGCACCCGGGACTTAGGTTTCCCGTGGTGGTAATGCTGTTTAATATAATTTGCGATTCTGTTTAGTTGAATGGTTTTTAAGGAAGGTCACATCGCTCTAGTTAGCGGGGGTTTTAGGTTTAAGCCCAGCCCTGTGGTCCATTTCTGGACTGGAAGCTATGTTGCTAGCTACTCAGTTAGCTAGCTAGCTGGCTAGTAAGTAGGTGATTTGGCTGCTAGTTGCCTGCTAGCTTGTTTATGATTAGTGATGCTAATGTGGCTAATGTTGCTATGGCGGGCTGTGTTGTAAACAGTGGTATAACTAATGTTAACAGATTAAATGTGCTGTACAAAGCAACGGAAATACGACTTGCACAAAATATACCTGTGCGAACTCACATTGGTGACTCTGTACCTCCAAAACAATTCATTTAAACTAGGAAGTTGAATCGGTTTCTTATTCGCCAGCTTGTTGTTCGAATTCTGCCGTTCCACCTTAAATAGTGCAGCAGTTGGGTTCTGGTGCCCGAGCCGCCAGAATGAAACTGCTGCACCATTTAAGGTGGAACGGGAAATTCGAACAACATGCTGGCGAAGAGGAAGCTAACTTCTTCAGCCTTGTACTTGAACTGCATTAGTTAACTGGTGATGTAGCCTTGCTGGCTGCCTGGCGGTGAACTTTTCCTTGTCGTTTGTCAGCTGGCTAACTACTCTTATCATAGCTTATTAATTTTCTGGCCGCTGGACACGATACGTGGTCACTTGCTTACACATAGGACACATTCTGTCTTTAAAGTAGCGGTGGTCAACTTATCAATACTTGTGGCTGGCTGTACAACAGGAATGTAAACCCAGTGAATGCCTCATTGTAAGCCAATAGATAGATAGAACTTATGATCCCGAAGGGAAATTGCAGTGTTTGAGTAGCAAGACGTATAATTGCACATAAACCTATGTATACTATGCAGAAAAATAGAAATAAATCTAGAAATAAGTTAAAGTACAAGAGAAATAAAAAAGTATATTTATTTGCATATTTACATGGCATATGAGACAGATTTGATGTATTTACATGACAGCAGGCACTGAGTGGTATGAGAAACTAAAAGCACAGATTAGACAAAGTTCTGAAACAACTAACTCAGAATATTACAGTGCAAAGAGCATAGTGAAAGTGTAATTACAGTAGTAGTTATGATATTATTATGATCTATGCTGCATTTGTTTCCCTAGCTTTTGTTATTTTTTTTAAGTGTTACAGATGTCAGACTAATTGTCCCCCTATTTAACAAGTCGTGTAATGTTCATTGTGTTTTTACAGAGACCCTCAGAGTTCTATGGCAGTAGCGTGGAGATCACTGTGGTGAAATGGATCATGGAGCTGTAGGCATACCCAGCATGGTACGTTGCTTAACTAGTTTATTTTGTAGTCTGTATCATTTTGTGTCTGAATCTGCTGCTCATTTTTTCCATGAACAGTGGTAATATAGCGGTAAGTACATTGTTTAACATGAAAGATCCCTGATATCAGCTCCCACCAAAACTGGGTTAAGGATGCAACCATCACATTTTTTACTCCTGTTGGCAGTATATATCTGTCTCATGTGACCTCACTGTAAGACTTTGCCGCTATTTCTGTGACTCTGAGAATCAAGTGTTTTCTGTATGCTGTACCGTTTGATGTGAGAACAGCCATCAGAAAAGAGAAAGTGAAAGTATTACTGTATTCCTGAGAAAGCAGACTGATATGACAGTGCTTAATCACTTTAGTGGTCTTCAATACAAGTAATGTTAATGATTGTTTATAAAACATCATCAGAACTAATCAGATTGATCGATGCATTTGGCACGCAAAACCCTGCAGCAAATCCACATGGTTTACCGGCTAATCTTCCAAACATTAGTAAACTTTAGGTAATGCCAACAGCTTTAAATTCTTTTATAGAAAGCATCGCAGCCTCCACCCCGTTCACATACAGCTTTGTTTTCATCTTTAAATCAATACCGCTGGTCTGTCCAGCAAAACATGGTTTCTCAGCTGTTACTACCAGTGTAGTATGATGGCAAGCATAGGACGAAACCATTTAAAACTGGCAACGAAACGTCTGCGTCATAAGAGAAGAAGACTTTGCCTTTAGGTTGCTGTTACTTCTGCTGTGGTGGTCAGCGCCAGCGGACACGAGAGAGACTTATGAAATTGTATGCCAATTTAGAAAATGCATACACAAAAGTAAATGGCTTTTCATGCGGTCAAGTGAAATTAGCCCCCATGAGTGTAATTCTCAAAGCTGTAACTATTTTTTGGTTTTGTTTCTTCAGTGTTGCACTGGTACAGAATATAATTGGTTCCAGTGTATTAAACATACTGTGCAGTGTGTTGGCAGGCCAACATTAGATGAGTGAACAGTCAAGATCACTATCTATGATTGTTCAGCTGTAGGCAGCTCTGTAACTTTCATGTCATGTTCCCGTAAAATGATTGGAGTTTATTAATTGGCAGTGTAATGCATATATTCATGTGAACTCACCTCAGTCACTGTAGCTTCTAATCAGCTCTAAACCACAGTAGCTAGCTGGTTATGTGGCCTGGCAGGCTCCCTGGCTATGAACTTTTGTTTGTTGTTAGTTGACACTTGGATGCTGTTTAGTCACTCTGATTTATGCCTTGAAATGAGCCTATTGATAGTTGTGGCTGGCTTTACTACGAATTTGAAACTCAACTCTAGTTTAACTTTCACATGCTCCCCTTGACAGTAGTAATGAAGTTCTCATTTATGCATATATTTTGGGTAATTTACTGCAGCATCAAAAATGATAATGCATTTTATTTGCCTGATCGCTTGTGATTTTAGCCATGCTCATGTTAATGCTTGTACAATAGACGTTTTTATATTTCATAAACTTGAAAGTGAAGAAACGCAAGAAAACAGCACAACGTTGACAAGAAAAGCAGTTTTTTGGGAGTTACTTTGCTGTACAACTGAGTGGTTCAGAGTGCAGACAGCAGCATCAAAATAATCAAACGAAAGGGCAAAATGCCCATATAGTCAACATTCTTGCCTCTTAAAAACGTCTGTATGTACATCTAAATGTAATAAACCAATGTTGGTTCACCTTTAAATGCAAAAAGTTTAAAAAGTTTAATGTCATGCACACTAATAAAGCACTTTGCATGTCCCTTAATATGCTCACACTAAACCCAGTGTGAGTAGCAGAGCAACGTTTTAGCGTTGGGAGTGTGCATTTTAAACATCTTTGCTGTTCAATTGTCCAAATATTTAAACCAATGTTATGTAATTAATCCCAACAAGAAATAAATGTATATTGCTATGAATGAATATGAATGCACAAGAGCGCTGAAGGTGCTCTGATCGCAAATTAACATAAAATATAGAGGGATACTCACTTGTTTCATTAACATATATACTTTTTGTCATAATTATGAATGTGCGATCATGCATTTTAATTCGCTCTTTAATGTACAAACCTTTTTACCCACCCAGCGAAGCTAACGTTGGTTTACTTCCACAATCTAGGTTCAGTTTAAACGTGGACATTTGAAGCTTGTAAGACATCTAAAGAATATATTAACTTTGTACACTGCAGTTTTACAGTTTTAGGCTATTGCCAACTCCTGCAGTAGAGTTGCTCTCTTTCTCAGAGTTGCATTAACTGTGCATGTCCACCGTCAGCTGTCTTGTTCACAGTGTGTTCGCAGGAAGTGAGAGGCGACGGTGAGCTGAAAGAAGGCAATCAGTTATACATAGTTGATGCTAATTCTGAAACGTTCGGCTTGATGAGTCGTGAGCCTTAGATCTTTTTTTTTTTATTTCCAGGCAATTTTGTTGGCCTTTTGAAGCTACCCGTTTTGTGGTGCATGCTTCACACTTATAATGGTAAAGTAGTGATAATTTTCTTCTTACAGTAACTTGCATATACCAGTTTCCCTTCAATGTGTTTGTAAAAGCTACCTTACAGACTACTGTTGTGCAAAACGGTTACAGATGCACTGCCTGGTGCCTAAGAAGACGATGATAGTTTTTTTAGAATAGTTTGGGCCTAAAACATTTTTAAATATCCTTTCATGGCGAGAAGTACTTGCAGGGTGTCGTAAAGCAAAATAGTTTTTCAGACTTACCACTGTTACCTGTTGTAAACTCGGAAGAGAAATGCTAGTTTACCTAAGTTTTTGTTAGTAAATAAAATGGCACTGTTTATGTTGTAGGCGTTGTGATCCCTAGTTCCTGTCACCTCCGCTGTAAGGAAATTAAGCTTCTCTGCCTTTCCACTCCTCTACTTTCTCAACTCTTTCACATTAAACTGCTCTGAATTACTTTATTTACATCTCAACAATTGAATTACACAGAAATATTTTCCTTTTTACTGTTTTTATTCGTGCCCTGATTGGTGGGGTTAGTGTTTTCTATTTTACACTAGTCACAGCCCTGTCACGGTAATGTGTTATTGAAGTGTAATACCCATGCATTCACATTTTATATGCAACTAATTTACCCGTGTAACTTCTGACCTTTCTTTGATTACAGCACATATTTAACCACCTGTTTTCCATTCTCCTCACTAGTTATAGTTGCTTTTAAGTGGCTGAAATGAAATGATTGAATCTGATTCTTTGGCTAATATTCACATGGGGCACTAGCTGAAATTATCGTTGAACTTGTGGCAATTAGAAAGCAAACTCTACTTATAAAGGCAATCAAAGTTCTGAAAGTTTATCAGAGGAGTCGCTGTGTAACTGCAGCATATTAGGAATGTCACCTGAATGCTTGTCATAGTCAGTAGATGTCTGTATTTTAGCTAGAGTAGCTATAAAATGTTTATATGCACCTCTGCCAGGTTGGTGTTAACATAAAAGTGGTGATTCAACTCATTAGCCGATAACCCAATCAGACTATTGCCTGTTGGGGTGGGAAATAGTTAAAACTGTACATGTATTTATTTAGTAAGAAGTGTAATGTTTTTTTTTATTGTCACTTTTTAAGGTTTCCAATGTGCATTATTAGTCTGTTAAAAAAACAATAGCTGGACTTTAAATAGTAACATGACTTAGGCTTATAGTTGTATTATTTCTAAGCTATTTAAGTGGTTGTTTTTTTATTGCTGACCAAAAGTTATTCTTTGTTCTGTTTTACTGATGCAAAAGCACCATACAGCCTTCATAATTTTGTAGTGCAAAATGTTTGTAATGTCAGTGTTAAATTGATATTCTGGTATAAAATTGGCCTTAGTCATGTAGTATTTCCTTGCACACATTATTCCTCTGCCTAATTGGTGGGGTATTGATAAAAATAATCTATAGATTAATCCATTATGGAGTACTATGAACAGCAGCCCTACAACAATTACATTCGCAGTGCTAGCAAGCATTTGAGATATTGCATTACTTACTAGTAACATGCATTAATTGGTCAGTAAACAATTATTAAAGGAATGATTCAGTTGAAGAATGACCTGTACAATGCAGCATATTTGGATATGAAAAATTTTGAAAAGGCTAATTCTGAAGCAGAGGTGGTTGGCAGGGGTAGTGCATAATGGCAGCTTCTGGGGCTCCCGAGTGGCGCAACCGTCTAAGCGTTGGCCCTATCATCAGGAGATCGCGAGTTCGATCCCTGGTGATGCTACAGCCATCCGTAGCCGGGAGTCCAAGAGAGCACAATTGGCCTCGCTCTCTCTGGGTGGGTGAGATGGCTGCCTTTCTCTCCCCATCACTCACTAAGCGCGATGCTAGTCAGCGCAGGCGTCTGTTAGCTGACGTAACAGATCTGGCGGTTGGCGCTTTCCTCCGAGCGCGTTCAGCTGTCCAAAGACGTTGCGTGAGCGGCAGTTCGAAAAGATGCGGTGGTTGGCTTCACAGGTCTTGGAGGAAGCCTGCGTTAGCCTCGCCCTCCTAGCGTTGATAGAGTCGTGTGTGTTTGGGGGAGTCCCAACTAACGGGTGGAATTGGCAAAGACTAAATTGGGGAGAAAACCAGATAAAAAATAAATAAATAAATAAAAAAATAATGGCAGCTTCTTGCATGTGGAAAACCAGGTTTCAGTTCCCTGTTCAGACAGGAATGGTATTGACTACATTCTCTCTACTACTACATTCTTATTGTATGTGAAGATGGTGTTTGTCTCTGTTTCTCTGGAGATAAAAAAAAAAATCTGTCAACTTTCGCAAAAAGTGGTTGATGACTACTGGAAAGGATGTTAACCACATAAAAAACAAAATCTTACATTTACAAGTGTGTAGCCAGCAAAGTAGATTTTAAAGGAGCTACAGTATTCAACACAGTTTTAGCTTGACTCCAAATATCCTATTTAATTATTTAAGTATTTGTAGTTCTTCACAATGGTATTTTGCCTTTAGTAAGGGTATGTAAATATGTGATGTAGTTA